TTAGGAAGGGTCCCTCGGTGCGAACTTTGCTCCAGAGCTCTTCACCTTCAGTGGCTCTTGCCTGTATCCAAGCTCCTCCACACTCAGTTTTCCCAAATAATTACTGTAAACACAAAGCCAGCAGACCTGGGTGACTGCTGGTCATCCAGAACCCACTTTGAGACTCCCTGTGTGAAGCAGCCCTTACTGTGTAGCAATGTTGTGGTGACTGCAGGCAATATGCTGATATCTAGGGAACATATAAAATAAAAAATCATGTCCATATTTTCTATGGTTTTTTCTATAAGCACAGTAAACAGGATGAGAGGTCTTGCATACGAGTTCCTCTCTGCAATTTAATAGCCTGAGTTATATCAGCTGTGTAAATATGTAATTTAATTTCATACAATGCCCTAGAATTATGAAAGGTCTAGTCACTGGATGTGGAAACTTGTGTGAACCCCTTTAGGTAGATGAGGACGGTATAGTTATATTAAGTATAGTCATATACAGTACTTCAAAATATTTTTTTCTATCTACTAGGAATAATCACAAGATATTTCCCTGTTTACAGTACCTTGTGATACCTGTAAATGTAAAATTTCCACTTACCAGAGTGATTGTAATTAAACTAAACTAGATCCTTGCTGTTTTGAGAAGACAGGAAAGCTTTGAGATAAAGAGGCTCCTCAATAACACTACTTAGACAAACTTGACTTGCTGTTTTGAGAAGACAGGAAAGCTCTAAGAGAGGCTCCTAAATAATTCTACCCCAGACAGCTCAGCCTTGGGAGGGCAGATGTACCAAGCTACAGAGATAAAGAGTCACCAAGAGGGCAACAAGACCGGAGCAAAACAACCTGGAAGGACACGGTATATTGATCTTAGAACTGAGTCTGCGCAGAAACAAAGGTCAACCAGTGGACACTGTGATGAGGAGCCTTCATTCTGAGACCCCTAAAGACCACCTGAGGACACTAACAGACATGCGTGAAAGATAAGAACATATGCTAATTTGTTCTTGGAAAAGTCATGAATATGCTAGGCATTTCTCAGAAATATAATGAATATGTATATTGTGATTGTATTTAACCTGAAAAGACAGTGTGTTAGGTGCGCACGTTTGGAGGAGAGATCCCCCGTGTGCCTGGTGCTGCAATAAAGAATACCTGCTTAATAGCCCTCTGACTATTGAGTCTTCATCTCCAGCTTTTCACGGCATCACTTGGATAAAATGTGTTTCATGCTTACGTGGTTTTGATTAGCTTAGGAACTCTTTGCAGGTTTTATCTAAAATTTGCTTTAATCAAAGTGAGTTTTCTGTTCAGATTACTAAATCTTGGATTCTGGGAATACTGACTGAAGAAATTTAACGAAAAGTTTACATGCTTGCTTAGAAGTCATTTTATTCAGAAACCGGTTAACTAGTAACAGAAGCAGGCATGAGGAAATGAGAAAACTAGTGAATAAGCATGCTTTAATTTTTCTGTTTCAAAGGATTTGTGCCATGCATTTTGTTCAGCTGGTACCAAACCACAATCCAGGTTCTCTTCACATAGTAGATCTGCCAATCTGCAAAGAAATAAAAAGGTAAGGAGAAAAACAAACAAACAAAAAAAAGTAAAAGACAAAAAAAAACCCTCTTGACCATCAGTGCATTAAGTTTCAGTTTCATCATTTCGACGGCATTTATCAAGCTGCAGCTATGTCTTGCAGCATTAGCAGGGCAGTATGGTAAAAGGTATTTTAGTCCAGATTTGGCCTGATACAGAAAAGGCAATAGCAGTAATGGGCCATTAATTCTATCAGAGGGAAGGTCAAAATGAAAACATTAATCCACATGTCATTTCAAGTTATTTTGTGAGTGAGAGTGTTCTGAGTAGAGCCAAAGAAATATTTGGGGCAATAACTGTACTTGCTGGCTCAGGCCAGTCTCCCACAAGTCTCAGATCAGATTCCTGGTGAATTCCTCTCTGACTCCTCACCACACAGCTCTTCCCACCAGAAATACACTGTCTCTGTGAGCAGCAGGGTGGTGGTGTTTTCTGATGTGGGATGTGTTTCTTGCTTGCGGCAGGAATCCAGAGACCAGGGGTCAGGTATGTTCTCATATCACCTAGGCAAGCTCTGATTCACATCAGCATCTCGCACACACGTGCCATGTCAGGGGATGTAGAGTTACTGTAATGCACACTACCCCTATGGACAGTGCACACTCCAGTCCCCCACCACACAGGCAGACACACAGAAAAGGTGTCATAAATTATTTGGAAATGTGGGACTTAATAAACAGCCAGAAAGAAAATTCTTTTTCTTTATGGGACTTCCTTGGAACTTCAGACAGCTAGAGGCAAGTCAGCTCTGGTATGACCAAAGCACGTTTGCAGTACTGTTAGTGCTGAGACCCTACCTCAGGCATCAACTTTTAGGTCTGCCTTCCAAATAAGGGCTGGAAACAAAGGCT